TCAACAAAAATCAGAACCTAGAAAATAATAGAGAGGCTCTTGCAATAAGATTATCTGCATCCCCTTGCAGAGAATTCAATCATCCAAGTGACACTCTTCACTCATTCAAGAACCAAATATGACTTTTAGTAAATTTATTAATGAGTAAGCCCAACATGTTAAACTATATTGCAGATTGGCATACTCGATGGGCACCATATGGATCAAGCAACTGTCCATACTTCTTGTATTGAAAAGTAAAACATGAAAGATAAGATCCATATCTTCTGGTGATAAACTAGTTTCATGTCATCAAAGTCAATTTGACACAGCTACTGGACACCATGTCTGAGACCATTACACCTTAGATATGTGGCAATAAGGGGGTTAGAATTACCTTGATAAGTTTCCCACTTGCAGTCAAAAACTTCAATTTTGCAGACAATAGTCTCTTAAAGTTTGGAGGTGCCCAGTATTGTTCCTACAAAACAAACACCACTGAAGGCTGTAATAGAAAATGCAATGGGCAAGAACAGAAACAACTGTATGGAGCAATAAATCTCAATCTTAAAGCTTAGAGAGGCTTCCACACTATGTAACAATTATGGACGACTACTTGGGTGATATAAATAGTTGGTTGTCGGAATATTTATAAAACTTGGTGATACAATTTACAATAAAGTACCTGGCAATCTTATCTTAGTTCACAAAATGAATAAATCTGCATTAACAATAAAACCACCTCTATGTATGTAGCAATAGTAGTCTTGTTAGAACCACCAGGCTCACTCAAATTGCTAATGGCCTCCATTATGAGATTGTCCAACCTGTGGCAAGGAAGAAAGTCATATGTAAAACAATAAGTAGTGCAGAAAAAATTACAATTCATAATAACAGAAGATTTCCCAACATATATCACCGGAATCTATTGCTACTGGCCTTGTCGAGATCGTAGTAGATTATAAACTTCCAATCACAAAGCTTTTTTTAAACCTATCTATGTATAACTTCGAAAGAAAGGTAAAACTTTGGGTGAATGCAAACAATTTAAGATAAATTTCTCTATTCAATCTAGTTTGCAGGCACGTAAAGCAAATTAGAAATTTGAGGTGTATGCAGTCCAAGAACAGTGGTGCAAGGTGCTTTTCTTCATCGATAAGAATTTTTGTCAACTTGAAATATGTAAAACTTCTTGATTTAAGAGTGTTTAATTGCAAAAGTTCCATGTGAAATAAGACCATGCCACATTTACAAAAATAATATGTCTAACCTCATGCTAGATCGTTTTGCAACATTAATAGGTGGAGAACCAGCAGACACTGCAAGAGGCTTAGCATCGACAGTTTCTTCGTCGCTTTGTGATACAGGAATAGTAGCCATAGGGTTTTCTTCCTGCTTAGGGACCTGTTGCATCCTTTTCAATGCTAACCTGGCCCTCTCTCGAGAACCCCATCCATTTGCCATCACACTCATGTTCCTCCACTTGTCCTATTTCAAACCCATATAAATTACAAAGCAATATAACATTTCAGATAGCCAAGTATCTTGTGAAGAAATCAACTAATATTTGTCATATGGACTCATCAATCTCAACATCATTCAAGCAAATAAACTATCACAAGAACATACTGAAAATTTTATACCTTGAGATCTACATTTGAACGCAGATATAATACACCACTAAATTCTGGGTCTTTAAGAATTGTTCGCCACTTGCCGGGCCCATGCTTAAGAACTCCAGCTTTAAGAGCTGCTTCTTCTTCTGGGGTCCATTTTTGTTTTGGAGCACCCATCGAAAATAGCAAAGAAGGCAGTATCAAGAAAAAAAACAATCTGCACCACAAAGAACATAATAATCAAGCCACCAGATCAAATTTTAGTGCAACTAAGCAAAACAGGTCCATCAAATTCAATAGGAGACAACCTTTTACTCAAATCAGAAGCTCAACAATGAATAATTTCGTAATACACATCCTGACCCCCTTCTGTTTTCCAAAAGTCTCCCAGAAATCACACAAAGTCTTATAAAATAATTATATTTTGAAACCTCGGAGGTTCTTATTGCCAACAATTGAGTGCCTTTTCCAAATATACAACGAACTAATTCATATGTTTCAACAAAAATCCCAATGGGAAATGTGTTCATGAAAATTTCCCAGCGGAAGCTTTATTGAATTTCTGAATTTAAATTGCAGTTTCGAGAGGACTAATATAAACGTATAACATTACTGCTCAAGGAAAATATTGATGTAGCACAAAACGAAACCCTAATTTACTTCACATCCATACCAATTATCATGAAGAGAGAGAAACCAGTCATAATTCAATCGAAAAACAGGAATTGTATGAAGAGAGAGAAAGATATAGATAGAATTACCAGATCAGATCCTGAGATTTGAATATTGATTTGATTCTGTGTCAAAGATTCGATAATCTGAAGCTCTCTCTCTCTCTCTCTCTCTCTCCACCTGGTTTCTACTCTGAAGAACCAACACATATTTTTCCCAATGTTGGGGATACCGGAACGTTTAAAATTAACGGACAGATAATAATAACTTTACAGCAGGTGGTGACATTAAGGAGTTCGGCGACACTGCTACACGCCCAATTTTAAATGCAACTCGTGTAACATACACAAATTCAATAAAAAATTAAAATGTTTAGGTTGGCATAATTCAAATAAAATGAAAAAAGTTAAAATATAAATATATATCATCAATTAGATGAGTGTAAGATGAGTGGATCCCATTGAAAAAATTAATAGGACCCACTCATACAAAGCATAATATACAATTGAGTTATAATTTTTTAAGTTTCATTTGGATTTTATAGTTTTGCTCAATAAATAGATTGATTCCAACTTACCTAAATGCAACGTAACTGTTAAACATTACTTATACACAATATGAATATAATTATAAAAAATACTACACACCTCAAATAGAACTTAAAAATTGTAACTCAAATACATATCATCCTTTAGGTGAGATTGGATAAATGAGTTCGATTAAAAAAATTGATGAAACTCACTCATGCAAGGGCTGATATGTATTCGGATTACAATTTTTTGGGTTCTATTTAAATTGAGTTAACCTAATTTTTTTTTTCAGTACAACAAATGGATATGCAGATAGGTTACTTCACATATCTGCTTGAAAATATCGTATCTTAGCACCACTCAAGTTATCTGCAGGGGACCCTACTGCACCTACGCCGATGCTTAAATTAAGGTTTCACTGCGTGCTCTAAACGCTGAAAAGTAAGTTTAGTCCTGACGAACTATCGTAGTTATAGAGACTCGAACCTAAGTATTGGGCGAAGAAATCCGAGTTTTTACCCACTAGGACAATCATAGTTTTAAAAAACAGCTTGGCCCGACAAGTAGACCCGAGAACCCAGTGAGCCGACCACTAAGACGGTTTGGCTATGTAATTAGATCGTTTAAGTAAAAAAAATGGCTCAAAATTTGTCAAATCGGACGATTTTAGAAAAAATCGTAAAATCAGACGGTTAAAAGAACCGGATGGGTCAGTTGGTTGTATAAAAATCAAAGAAATTGAACATTTTTTGCCCTAGTCTGAATTTCTTAACTCTCACAATCTGTCTCTCTGTCCATTCTCTCATCACCGACTCTCCCTCAATCGCCACCAGCCACCATAACAACGACTTTCTAACTCCGATACAATTCGAGTTTCCTCCCATTTCTCTCACTCCTGTGGCCCTAAAATCTCAAGAATCACCTCTTATCTCTCATTGATCGTCTCTCGTTGTGTGCATCCCATCTCCCTTCTTTCTTACAAGTCACACACCAAACTGGAGATTTTTGTGATATTTCCTCTCTTAGTGGTAGCAATGCAAGAGAATAAAAGGTAATTTTTCTCCTTTATGTTTGTAATTATTTAACTCCATTTTTTTTTAAATTCTTTTTTGTCTGGGCTTGTGCTTCTGGTGTTCAATTTGGATTTGTTTGTTTACTAGAATTATTATTATTATTATTTTATATGTCATTGTTGGTGGTTCGATTTGGGGATATTGACTCTGGTGGTTGTACTTGTTTTTGAGTTCTTTAATTTAACACCCTGCTTTTGATCTCACTTGCATTGGACAATGACTATGTATTGGATCAAAAAATTAAAATCAATATAAAATTAGGGAGTCATTTAATTTTTATGGCTTTTTAAAATTTTTTACAATATATATTAATTTTTAAATTTTTTTTTATTATATGACTGGTTCAACCAGTGATCCGACGGTTGAATCTAGGACCCATTAATCCGAACACTTTATCGAGTTGAGGTCCAGACTAGTTTTTTAAATTATGGGGCCGACAGCTCGTTGGTAGTTAACCTAAAAGTCTTTTGGAAGTCGGTTCACCAAATTAAACATATTCGTAAAAAAATATATAAAACAAAATATTTTGGAAAAAAGTACACAGTTAAGATACAAAGACATAAATGCCCATTTTGTAAAAAAAAATTTCTAAAAACTTTAACAAGACATTTATTAAGCGCTGAAATTTAAGGTCATTTAATTCAAAATCTCTTATCTTTAATGCACCTTGATTCATGCGTATTTTCTTTTTTTAAAGTGATTTTATTATCAAATTATATTTATGCATTAAATATTTACTACTATTAGTTTTATAGGAGAATTTTAATATTTCATTTATTTTACAATATATCATTTTTTTGAATTTCAAAATTTGTTAATATCCGAACTCTATAATAGTGTAACAAAAACAGTGTAACCAATACACTGTAACAAAAACAGTGTTCAATAGGTTTGTACATGTGATAACAAATTTCAAAACGGAGATGGACTATTTTGAACGAAATTATATGAAAATATATGTTGGATAAAATGTAATAGTACAATATTTTGTGTAAATGACTTGTTACACTGTTATTGTTATATTGTCACACTGTTTGAACATTAATACAATTTGAAAACAAAATCACTTTCTAAAAAAAAAAATACTCATGAATCAAGGGAGGACATACAAATATAGAATATTAAAATTCTCCCATAAAATTAGGAAATATTTAATGCACCACTTTCTAAAAAAAATACACATAGATCAATGGAGGACAAAAATATCACAAAAAAATCAGTAAAATTCAAATAATATACTTAGATACAAATAAATATTAAAATTAAAGACTCAATTACCCAAGTTATATCACCCAAAAACCAGACTTTTAATTGAAAGCAGAAATCCAGAATCATAAGAAAATAATACATTTCCAAATGAAGATCCAAGTTATTTAAAAACAAAATATAAAAACTAGAAAATAAGAACCCATTTGTAAAGAAACCCATTGGAGGCCGGCCCCTATTTTTACGCCAAATGGCCGAGTTTTCTTATCAGAAGCAGGCATCTAATAGGCAGCAACAGCACAGACCAGCCAAACTGCACATTTTTAAAGTCAACCAATCAACATCAAATCAAATTAAAGAATTCTACCATCTTCAAATAATAATAATAATAATAATATCCGATACAACGTAAACATATATCTGCCTAAAATCAACAAGGGAAAGCGATTCGTGATTCCTAATTCCTCCTAGTATTGCAAAGCAAATTGGCCACCATCATCCATTACACAAAATGCTCATATTGCTACTTCAAACATAATTTACCACAGATAGTTGAAATTATAAACAATATCTCCAAAATTCTGTGATACGTCATTTTTTTTTTTCCATAAAAAAACAGTAGCAACCATTGATGCGATTATACAAGTATGCAAGGGATATAATTTTAGCGAAAAAGAAAAGCTTATTCCTTCCATCATTAAGCATGTATATCCAACAAAACTCAATACTGCCTTGAAGTGTTTGACCAACATTTTTGTATATATATAACCCACACCAGGTCTCATTATTGGGTCACGATATATTGTATCACCATTTCATTTTTATATTTACTCACATGGATGGATTCTTAACAAGCCTTACCACCCACTCCTTGTTTTACTCTCTAATGTTTGACCCCAATTGTTTTGTACAGCAAGATAATCACATGCACAATACAATGCTCAGGTTAATGCAAATTGCACACATTTTTTATTTTTTATTTTTCAATTGAATTGATGAAAAGGTTTTTCCCAATTCCCATACTAGAATTCCTTTTTTAGAAATCATATATTAATTTTCCGGTTATGACAAAATTAAGGTCTAAAAACCCGAAGGGTCAGCTCAAATGGTAAGAGAAGACTTCTCTGGCGGCAACCAAGAGGTCCCCGTTTTGAGTCTTAGGGCCACCTACCTAGGGCGTAATCCCAACGATTTACCTGGCGCGTGTGGTTAGTAGGGTATTGCACGAGCTTGGAGGATTTCTCCGTCGTTGAGTCTGACAATAAATTGTTGGAGTTTTCTCCGAGTTACCAAAAAAAAATTAAGGTCTAAAAATGTCATCCTATAAATTATCCATTAATGGTACATATCACCATTTCATTTAGTATTTTACTCACATGAATGGATTCTTAGCACACTTATCACCCTCTCCTCGGTACTCTCTAATGCAACGATGTTTTGTAAGGGAAGAAAATCACACGTACAATGCTCAGGTTGATGCAAATTGCACACAAAATATTATTTTTATTTTTATGTTTCGTTTGGTAGGAAGGATGAAAAGCAGGAAGGATAAACTTTATATCCTTCAAGGATGAAAAATAGGAATAATACACTTTCCTTCCTTTGTGATTTGTTGAATAGATGAAAAATAAAAATTACTAATTTTTTTTTAGTGCTGACTAAGATTAGGGGTAACAATCAAATCGTGTCGTGTCAGATTCATGTTGAGTCAAAAAATTATGAATTTTTTATATTTCTTATTAGCATGTCAGGTCATTTTTAAGTTTGTGTCGAATTATAATCAAGTTTGTGTCATAAAATTCGTATTGAATTCGAGTTGCGTCATCATGTTGAGTCAAAAATTTTCACCCCTGGTGATGAAAAAAATATTTTTTTTAATTTAAAATTTTAATTTTATTTTTTAATTTTTTTTGATTTATTATTTTTTAATATATATATATATTTTATCATTGTATTTTTATATGAAATTAGTGTATACATAATATATCTATATAATAAATTAGCTTACAATTCAAATCTAAAAAAATAAACAAAATGACTTTTGCAATTCGCGATTGAAATCGTTTTAAATTTTAGTTCAAAGTTAATCTAACGGTTAATATTAACACCCTAAATTTAATAGGAAAAATAGACCCTAAGAGTGTGTTTGGAATGACTTTTTAAAAGTATTTCTACAAATTATTTATCAGAAGTACTTTAAAAAAAATAACGTTAGAAATCGTCCCACCACTATTGCCACCGCCATCACCACCACCGTCGCTACCATCCAACCACCATCACCACCACTGTCGCCATTGTCGTCGCTGCCACCACAACAACCGCTGCCACCACCGTCATCACCACCGCCGCCACCGTTATTGCCACCCAGCATAACTATCACCGTCTTTTACTACCACTACTGCCGCTCATCACCTCTTATCCCCACTATAAATCAATACTTAAATTTTTTTATTTCTTATCTATGTTTGTAATTTAATTTTGGATATAAATACAAATATATTTATTATTTACTATTTTTTTATTACTCTATGTCTTTAGGCAGAGATAATAATTAATAAAAAAATAAGATACATCTCAACACAAATAATTAATTTTTCATCTATTTTCTTTTGAATTTTAGAGAGATTGATTTTGGTAAGTTGAAAAAAAAATTAATTCATCCATGTTTTTATTCTTTATATTTTTCTTATTTATTAAACATAATATTTTATTTATCTCTCTAATTTTTTATTATTTTATTTTTTTATCGTATCAAACGGAGCATTAAATTTTCCAATTGAATCCAGGAACAGGTTTTGCCCAATTCCCGTACTAGAAATCTTTTTATAGAAATCATCCATTAATCTTTCTGGTTCTGACAAAATTAAGGTCAAAAAATGTCATCCTAGGAAAAATCTATCAATCGTACACTTTCAATCATTTTGTCAACCAAGAAACAATCGAAAAATGTCACAAACCAACAAGATATCACCTCTGGAGCTTAATTACCAAACCACCCTCCTAAACTGCCACTTCTAAAAGGGCATTATTGGAATCTAGATCTCAAGAACGACCAAAAGTTTTCAAATGACGCGATCTCTTTCACCATAGAGATCGACGGAGACGCCGATCGCCTGTGGCCATGGGGCCCAACCCAAAACTCCACACAGCGCACGTTAGCAAGCACACACCGGCAATGGAATGGACCCTCTAATAACCCAATCGCCAAGATCTGACTCGAACAATCAATATATGTATATATATACATATTCTAGGCATGCGCACAAAAATCTAGAGAGGAGAGGGAGATGGTGATAAGGGGGGCTTACCAGCCTTCCATGAGAGTAGTGCTGCTAGATGATTGTTGTTGAGGGGGTGGTGGTTGGGCATACTGAGGGGCGTATTGGGGAGGATATCCCTGAGGAGGGTAGCCCTGTGGAGGATAGCCCTGGGGGGGATAGCCTTGTGGTGGGTACCCTGGTGGAGGGTATGCGTCCTTGGGGTACCCTTCTTGAGGATAACCTACTCAAACCCCCAAAAACAAAAACACAATTCAACCCACAATTCCATCAGATTCAATCAACCAATAACCCACAATCTCCAAAAAAAGACAAACCCATATCAAATCTATGATTGACAGATCAAATCAAATCACAAAGAAAGGAAAAGAAAGAGAAAAGATTGGTGGATTTACCTTGGGGAGGAGGGACACCAACAGGGGGTTGTTGCTGATTGTAGTAACTCATGTTTTTTTGTGGGTGATTTTGAGTTTAAAGATTCTTGATTTTGTGTCAAAGACTTTCTGGGGAGAGATAGAGATAGAGATAGAGATAGAGAGAGAGATTGGGGTTTTGGGCTTTTTATAGGGGGGTGTCAACGAGGAGATAAATACAAAAGGGTGGTTATATGTACGAGGGAGGAATCCGTAGACAACAGGGAGGTTATATTTATGAGGGAGGTTATGTGTAGAAAACGCGTAAAAGTAACTTAAGGTCACTTTCCAAATTTATATTGAGAAATCGTGCAGCATTTACTAACTTTGGGTTCTTATCCAAATTAATGTGGTTCATTAATGGGATTTCTAGAATCTCAAATTGAATGCACCTAGGTTTTTTGATAAGTTTTGGATCATAATTAGGTGTATTGTCCCGGCTAAGGTAGGTTTGTGTAAAAAATTATTTTACTTATATATGATTTATTTATTTATTAATTTATGTTTAATGAATTGTGTCATATCAAATTCAAGTCGTATATAAGCAATATGTAAACATATTATGTATTTCTTTTAATTAATTTCACTTACATTTGATTCGTTTATTAATCGTGACGTATCGAGTTTACTCATTTACAAATCGGATGGTTTAAAAAAGATTCAAATATTTTAATTTCATATTTTATTTATATTGTGTTAATAAATTATGTCATTTGACATCCGTGCCCAAAATCAAGATGGGTCATTGGATCTATGTAAAGTTGAAACAACTCATTAATAGGAATGGTGCCAAATTAGATTGATTTTGACACAATCATCATCCTATTTTTTTTAGAAGCAGATAATTTATGTTACACACTTGACTAAATTATTACATTGTCCCATCATATCAGCGTGTAAATGAGATTTAATACAATTGTCTAGTTTATTTGATACATGAGTTAATTTTTTTTCAAAAAAATATTTTGTCAAATTGACAATTGATATTGGATATGTTTGAACCTGAATTTTTTTAGATAAAAAATTGTGCAAAAAAATTAAAGTTAAAAAAATCACCAAAACCGTTTAGAGTATCCTTTAAAAAGCGAAAAAAATTGAAAAAGTCCGTTTTGAATGATTGTCTACCTTTTTTGGTTTTTTATGTTAAAATAAAAAAATAATTAAATATATGTATAAATTATGCATANATTGGATATGTTTGAACCTGAATTTTTTTAGATAAAAAATTGTGCAAAAAAATTAAATTTAAAAAAATCACCAAAACCGATTAGAGTATCCTTTAAAAAGCGAAAAAAATTGAAAAAGTCCGTTTTGAATGATTGTCTACCTTTTTTGGTTTTTTGTGTTAAAATAAAAAAATAATTAAATATATGTATAAATTATGCATTATGGTTCCTAAAATATGAACTTCAAGTTTTTTTATATCACTAATAATATTTTATGAATATATTAAACTAAAAAGTTATGCAAGACTCGCAATAAAACTCTAAAAAAATTAGAAGAAAAACTTATAAAATTGGCTTCTTGAATTAATCTAAATAATCTTTTTTGGGTCCAAAGAACTGTTGTATAAACTAATAAAAAAGTCAGGTCGAAACGAACCTGTTTTATTTTNATAAAATTGGCTTCTTGAATTAATCTAAATAATCTTTTTTGGGTCCAAAGAACTGTTATATAAACTAATAAAAAAGTCAGGTCGAAACGAACCTGTTTTATTTAATTCTAAAACCCTTAAAAATTACAAATTTAAACTCACTCCAAACAGGTCCAATTGTGCAATGAAAATACTTGATTTTTCATTTGTTGATATTATACAAAAGAATCATTAAAGAATGGAAGTGTTTATGCTTTTTGTTTTACTAATGTAGATTCTTTGCGTCCAACCAATTAAAGATAGATATTATTTAGTTGGAAAGACTATCATCTAACCACTACTAACTTGAAAGAAACACATGTTCACATGGCAAGTGGATGGGGAAGGTTTTAAGGCTGCATCCGGTGTTTAGGCATTCTTTACCAAATCTTGTGACAAACCAGCTCATTTCTTAGCTCCAAAGACATTGACAACCTCTTTGCTACCTCATTTCTTAACTCTCTCTCTCTCTCTCTCAAATTCTTTTTAATCTTGCAACACAAATTCGAGTGTCATATTAGGGGTGATACTATAAGCATCCAAACGATGACATTGACATCTAAACAACAATTACTACAAAAAAGGGTAGTTTGAAACCCTAAAAACTAAAATGCACAAAATCAAAGTCAAAATCAAACATATCGCCCTTGAAAAACCTACTTGAATAATGTATATGCACACATTATTATGAAGTATATTTTATAGAATAGAGATGGAGCGAGAAATGGTTGTTTGGTGGGATTTAGAATTCAAAAATAAAATGTTGAGAGAGAAAGGTCTTCTAGAGGCTCTGATTGGTCATTAAAAATAAATGGAGCTTAACTAAAGTTAAGCCTTTTTAGTGGCCATTCATAACAAATTGAATCTAAGGACAATCAAGGCACAAAATTAATTTGGGGCCCCAGTAATTCAAATATTTTAGGCAGCCATTTTAATTGTTGTAGAGTAATCTATTCATTGGTAGGGCATTTCCCTCTATAACCACGTTTCCTACCAAAAAGCTAACTAACTAAATTCGGGTTTTTTTCTAGGCTAGACTTCATAACTATTACTCTGTCTAGCACATCTTCTTGCCCGCTTGGAATTCTCTCTGCCCGGTTTTACGATCAATCTTAGATTCATCTATTTGAGGGACATCAAATTCTGTGCTATTCTAATCTAATCCTAGTGTCGGCCCTAGTTACGGACAAACTCAAATAAATTCCATATATGAAATCTCTCACCAAACAAAATTAAATAGGGATTAAGAGAGTTATAGAGAATGGAAGAGAGAAAACAAAACACATTTTACAACTATGTGATACTCTGACGGGTTTTATCTTACTATTATATCAGGTTTGGTGAGTCAGTGATTATATTTATGATTTTTTGTTTAGTGTTTTTTTTTTTGATACTATGAGTTAAGTCCATACTCGGTGCTTTTATTGTGTTATGGTTTCTCATTTTACCATTGATTTATGTTTTTAAGTTTTTTTTTTATATTTATTCTTAATTTAACGTGAAATTGAATGCAATAAGCCTACTTCTAGTTTTTACTAGCAATGCAACACGATGTGAATAATTTTTTTAAAAAAATTAATAAATAAATATTTGATATATATGTACTTGAATTAAATATCATATCAAATTTACCAAACTTATTTTTTCATCTCTCATGCTCCACTATAAAATTTTTAAAAATTTTGTATATTTTCAAGATTTATTGTTCTAACTTTAAGAAAAATAATAACAAAAAAGAAAAGAAATAATCAAAGTTCTTTTTGTTTCTATAATTTTGTAATTGAAAGTGATTTTTTAGTGATGTTTGAAAATTAAATTTTAAAATTAATTTGATTAAGATTTTACTTATAAATCATTGAATAAAATAAAAATATTATCAATATGTCAAGCATAATGAAACCTTATTGTATTTAGGATTAATTAGGTTAATTAAGATAAAATTTAATATACAACGCTATAATATATATTATAAAGCATACTAAAGTTTTAAAAAAATTCAAGTTTTCACATAAAATGTTGACATAGTTTAAAAGGTTTACTGTGACTAAAAAATTATATAAAATTATATATACATTATTTTTTATCTTACAAATGAAATGGTTAAATATTTTGATAAAAAATAAAATATGCATATGTAGTCATAATATTATTTTTATAAATGATATGAGTAATATTATATTGATGGAGCTTTTAAAAGTTTTTTTTGACTATTTTGTTAAAACTTATAATAATGCATATATTTTTTACGAGTAATATAATCAATCAAAAAGTTTCATAAAAATTGACATTTATAAATAGAGAATAGATAATTAGAAAATTAATAAATCATTGAATAAAATAAAAATAATTATCAATATATCAATTATATTGAAACCTTACTCTATTTAGAATTATTTAGGTCAATTGAGATAAAATTTAATATATACAATGCTATAATAGATATTATAAAGCATATTAAAATTTTAAAAAAAATTAAGTTTTCACATAAAAACTTAACACATTCTAAAAAATTTATTACGACTAAAAAATCATATAAAACTATATATACATTATTTTTTATCTTAAAAATGAAATGGTTAAACATTTTGATGAAAAATAAAATATAAATCTATAGTCATAGTATTATCTTTATAAATAAAGTGAGTAATATTATATTGATGAAATATTTTAAGTTTTTTTTTAAATATTTTGTTAAAACCTATAATGATGCATATATTTTTTTTAAGAATAATATAATCAATCAAAAAATTTCATAAAAATTGACATTTATACATAGGGATATGATAGTAATTTAGATATTAAGTGTAAAAGGATAAAATGGTCTTTTTAACCCTTTATAAGAGTAAACTAATAAATCAAAAAAAAATTATGTTAAGATATTTTTATTAGTAGTATAGATTTTCTCTGATAGGCCTCTATGTAAATCGACATAGATATAATTATTAATCAAAACTTGTAATTAAAGTGCCTTCCCAAGACTGAATTCATGACTCAGCTCCTACTCTCTGGCATTGCTAAAATGATGAAATGACAATAGAGGTTGTAGCAACGATAAAATTGTTGGGAGGAGGGAGTTGTTTAGTGGTAAGGGTTTACTTTCACCCACAAGTGATTATAAACTCGAATCTCATCTCGTTCATTGTCCTTTCCATTAAAGGAAAAAAAATATAGAAAATATTGTGTTTTTATTTGTTACATGCTTAGGTGTTATTCTTTCGGATCATTGTTGAAGAGTCGGGTTGCTCACATGATTCCTCAACTGTTATGTTTTTTGTTTTGTGTCATCAACTATGATCATCAATTTTACATTGTTTTAATGATTAACGACCATTCTAAATTTGAAGAAAACTCAAAATTCATAAACATATTACATCCAAATGATAACAAATGTTTCTCAAAATTCATAGACATATTTCATCCAAATGACAACAAATGTTTTCTTTGGGGTCCATTTAGTTAGAAAGAAAAGAATGATAGAGGTGAAAATGATAGAAAGTAAAGTGAAAGAAAATAAAATAATATAAAATATATTTTTATGCATGTATTTAGTTA